CAGGTGCAGGTAATGGCAGTGAACTAACGTGTCCTACCACAAAAATCTCGAGTTTTTAGAAAACAATTATGTTAACTATTTCGAAAATGGGTTGCAATTGAAAGGCCAAAATCGGAGTCACGGTCACTGTGGCCACCGCGGCTGTTGACGAGTCAGCAAAGACAAATCAAATATCGAGTGACTGTATATATTTACTTATTCACGATTTCCAGTCCCAATCATCATCATTGCTTGTATTAAATGAATTTCAACATCCATAGCAACTTCAAATTATAGCCGCAAGAACAATGGAGATATACATTACAACTAAAGTACAAAAAAATAATAAACTCAAAATGGCGGACACCAGCAACAGTGCGAATTCAATGTACTCACATGATAATGCCGTCAACATCAAATGTTACGGCTAAAATTCCACGAGCCATTGCTTGAAATGGAAGGCCCGTACAGGTACTTTCGCTTAGATAATGATAACGTAATACAAGGTCAGTTTATATTGCTTTATCACGGAGCGACTAAACAGAGAAAGCGGGCGTCGTCAGCACAGAAAAGTACTTCCGCGTCCTGTTATTGAATGAATCATAGACAGGGGGTGCTACACCCTAAATGGAATGGCAATGAATTAGTCACGCGTGCTTGCTGAGTACCTCAGGTAACAACATTATAATTCCACAGTTATCAAAACAGTGATTGTTTCACTATGCGGTGTTTTTTTCCATAACAGAGACGTATGAATTATTCCGGATCGCAGCTAACTGCACTGGGCCACCACCGTACTGTGGTGGGTGGAGTCAGAATGATCCAATTTTGACCCCAAGGAGGCGCTTTAATGGGACATTCAGAACTGATGTAAGCACGTAGTACTAATTTCCGTTGATATTTACGTAACCTACATTCAGGTAGAATGTTACTTTTTTTTACACGTGCACATATTTTAGCGCATAAAGCAGTGACGATATTTCGTGTAAAAATCTGTAAACGATATTAATCGTTTTACTTTTAGTATTCGTCAATATTATATGATTTTTTTATTTCGCGGTCAATCTGTTTTTTTTAGAAAACGGTAAAATAATATGCATAAAATGCCATTTTAGCAGAAGTTTCCATATACCACGATGAAAACAGACTTCCACCCTCACAAACCCATGAAATATTTCCTATTTTTTAATAATTTTAGAAATAAAAAATGCATTGTAAGACACTATGTACCGTTTTTTCACAACAAAAATTATATAAATGTATTAATATATAATCCAAACAATGGTAAAATGCTCCAAAATACGTTATTTTCACAGCATAAATACAATAATTCAGAGATTCCTCTTATTTAATAAATGAACACTAGAGGGCGCTACACACACTACGCGCTACACACTTAGACGAGACTAGCAAATGTAACCGAAATAATCGATTGATGCTGAACGGAAATCTCCACTTCAGAACAGCTATGCAGATTTGTGCCTTCCTACCTTTTCTGCCTGTGTACAAGGAGTGTAAATACCACTATTCAGCCTCCCATGTTATTACAGTAAAATGACTAATTTCACTGGGTTTAAATTACGCTGATTTACCATTTCAGGTATATTCAGTGCGTTTTAAATTCACGGTTTTATCATTTGGATAATGTGTTCTGTGCTAAATTTTACATATTCACTGGGTTTTTAAATTAGCGCATTTTCCAGTCAGCGAAATAAGCAAAATTAAAACCCAGTGAATAATTAACCCCTTTACAGTATACGCAGCATGGAGATTATTAATATTTTTTGCGATTATATTATGTAAACAATACACGTACGTGCAAAAGGTTTGGGCAATGTAATTTTAACATCACTGCTGTAACCAAACAAATTCCGAAGCAGAAAATTGGCTCTGCCGTAGAATAATCGAAGCCGTCGTTTTATGTCTTCGTCATCTATAAAGTTAACAGTAACAACATATCCTAGATTAACGTGCGTCATCGTCCGAATCGCACGGTTTCGCCAAAGCCAGCCATTCATAACCGGTCCACGAACGAACGAATGTTGAGGCTTCGGCCGAATAAATGGTCCTTGGCTGGCGAAGATGAACGTGCGTATGCACAATTCTAAGCATAGCGTCACTAAGATATGGTGGAAGTACCACACATTGCTTCTAAGAGCATTCTTCCGGTGGAATAAAGTACACATTAAGATTTCTTAGGATGGTGGACAATCTCGAGGTCTGTGTCATATTCATCGTTCACAAACCGCGGAAGGACGGGCTCAAGTCTTCCCTTGGCATAAATTAGATGGTTTATATAAAAAAAAAACACCCACACAACAGCCCAATTTAAATAATTTTAATGTAATTAATATATACACTGAACAGTAAAAGCAAAATAATGCTACGGTAGCATTTTTCAAAATGGAATTATTTTGTCCATGTTTATTTCATTTATGCACGAAATGTGTGATAATGTAGTGTTGTTATGATAATACAGCAGGAAAACGTGTTATCGTGGGATATGCCTTCTGAAGTCAAAAACAAGACGCCACCTACGGTGAAATTTGGAGAATGGCGTGAAAAGACAAGCGGTGGGCTTCACGAACAGTATTTTTTTACCGTTTTTTATCAAACAATATTCATGGGAATGACTGGGTCAGAGAGAGAGATAACACTATTTGCCAGTGAGTCACCAGTGGCACTGGGTAGACCAGTGAGTCGATATTATATCCACTGGTGCACTGGGCTTACCAGCGAGTCAGTGAGATAATATTATCTCCACAGTGGCACTGGGCGGACCAGTTAGACGGTGAGATAATATTATCTCCACAGGTGCACTGGGCGGACCAGCGAATCGATGAGATGCCGGCATGAGGGATCGACCATTTGGTATTGTTGGGTTAGCTGGAAGATTTGTTTGAACAACACAGAAAAACAATTACACTGGTCACACTCTTTCACCACCCCACCCCCATGATTTCAAATATTTGACTCTTAGTGCATTTTTGTAATAAAGGTAAGGAGCTCAGTATGTTAATAAACTCCCTAAGTTTATAGTAGTTTGTCGCATGATATGCTTTTATTCGCCATGTTCAATTATGTTAGGCATGTGTGTGTGTGTGTGTGTGTGTGTGTGTGTGTGTGTGTGTGTGTGTGTGCAAAGAACAGCATCTACATCTAACTAAGGTAATAATTTCATTGCTAAGGGATTAGCTCCAAATATTTAAATCAACAGGTATATATTGAATGAGGTCTTCATTGTAAGTTAATTTAACCTAAGACAGTTTACACATACACTAAAACTTGTATTCAGTTCAAACTTTAATGTATCATCCCAACAATGGTCAGTTGAAAAACTGTTAAATAGTATTGAAAACAAATAAATTG